GGGGGGGGGGGGGGGGGGTGGTGACATCAGGTTTCGACTCTGAGACTACTTTACGTGAAGGATAAAATTAAATAAAAGTCTTGCAGACCATAGCTAATGGTGCATCACTACCACCTAGTGTTAAAAACTTACGGTGAAATGCAGCCGTGTCGTTTTCAGGAAATAAAAGCTAGAAAATACAGAAGGAGGTTTAGCGTTACTACAGATAAACAAAGCAGATTGTTATTCTTGTTAGGGATGGTACGATAACAAACATAGCCTGTCCGATCCGATACCTAGACCCAAATGTACGGCCCGTGGCATGATGGAGAGAAAAGAAGGTATCGGATTGATATCGGTATCAGCGGATACTTCAAGTTGCAGTATCGTTATTGGACACGGTAAGGATGTATCGTCCTTAATTCTTGTGAAATGACTGAGTATTTATTTAATGTGACGGTTTGGTTTGTTCTTTTTAAAACTCCACCTTTAAACTGCGTTTTTTTTCTATAACAGACAAAGACCAAAGACTAAATCATGGGCTAATCTCCACGGGTGTTTTTACTGTAGTACTGGGCACCTTTTGTACTTCACTGTAATGAAACTAATCATGAGCATTGACCTTTTCTTCTCTTCTTTATTGGAGGTTGGAGAGTTTTTTTTTTTTACTTCTGAGATTCTCAGTTTGTGGAGGAAAGAAATGTTCCTCAGGACGGAGTCAGACAGCCGCGGTGCGGTCCTGTGTGGGCGGCATGGTGGGGAAATCTAATGTGCTTTTAATGAGATTGAGCTACAGCAACTTCAGACTTCCTTTCAAATGCATCGCCTCCCCACAGCTCCACCCACAGGTTGCACAGCTGGCCGCGGGCCTAAACACAGCAGCGTAAACTACGGTCCATTATCAGCACAAAATAGTCCCAATAAAAATGACAATCTGAGGCTCTCTGCTCGTACGCAGCGGTTCATATCCTCGTGATCCAGAATTAAAAAAAAAAAAAAATAGGAAGGAAGAAGCAGAAACAGCAGAGCCTCCCTGGGGCGGGGACCAAGGTCTGGACATGAAACTCATTTAAAGGCAAACAAACAAGACAAATCTGTCCATTGACGTCCACAGGAGTCCCTGGTTCAGTTCTAATGAGACCTGACTCTCGTGTGTCAAACTATTGGCGCTGTAACTGTGGGTTCAGGCAGACTGTCTAATTGCTTTTCATAGCCAGTCTTTCCTGGGGGACGTTGTTAACGTCTACACACTGAACAAGGCTCCACTCTGTTCTATCGTTATTCAACCCCCAGTGGAGGAAAATGAAACGTCTGGGATTTTTGATGTTGAAGTGGAGCGCGGACAAACACATCGCACTTATTAAAAAAAAGCCGGGAGCAAATCAGAGGATTTCAGTTTCACCGGCGCGTTGTAGAAAACCAGCTCCGACAGATGTACGGCTAAAGAGTCGGCTCGAATAAAGTA